ATATATATATATATATATATAACATCAAGGATACTCATATAAAATACACCATAAATTCATTACAAATTTACTAGAATAAAGTCAGAATAGAACTAAATAATAACACGCTCAAACATAATAACATCAAGGATACTCAAATGTGCATAATTTTTATCATGAAATACATATGATGATGAAATACAAAAGATTAAAATATGACGCCGCTATATATATATATATATATATATATATATATATATATATATATATATAATATATATATATATATATATATATATATATATATATATATATATATATATATATATATATATATATATATATATATATATATATATATATATATATATTGAAAACACTCATAGGCTTACAATGAAATTTTTGGAAGTGAACAAACAGATAAGTGAAATGATATTACCTCATCAGACGAAAGACAGAGGACGCACATACATGACAAGGAACTTTTGAACGAAAGTTGAAACAACTGTAAAGAGTGCCTTTATACTTTATGACTTCAACATTCTTACCACGTCCATCTTTGGATAAGTTACCATTTGTGGGCATTAGTGTCAAATAAATTTGCGTATACAATTTTAAACCATTTAAAAAATTCTTTTAAGTGCTTTGTGTAACACCCCAAATTATATATTAATTATTTATTTAATTAATTTGGCGTAAATATATGAGTCTCTGTGAAGTGTTTGGTATATATGATATTTTGGTGCTTTGTATTTTTCTCTGTGACGGTATATGACGTGTATTCGTGATGCATCTCTGATGCAATAGCAGTGACTTGATGAATAAGATGTTTAAGATGATGAACTGTATGGTGTAGGATAGGATAATAAGAGGTTTTAGAATTTAAATAATTAGTTTAGAGTTATTTATATTTAGTAGTGATTATTTAGAATTATTTGGATTTAAATAAATAGAATAATATGTGATGTAGAGAAAATAAGTGCATTGTGGTCATTAGTGAAAGATAAGTGAGGGCATGATGGGAAGTTCATTATTATGGGTTTAAGAGGGTAAGTTTGATATAAGGATAAAGTTTGGGATTTTACACGCTCACTCTGTATGATATAATTTGGAAGAACGCTGTGGAGAAAAGAGAGCTAGTGCACAAAGAGGCAAGAAGAGCATAGGAATCCCGATAGAGCACGGAGAGGAATTGATCTCTAGCAATAATATTAAGCTAAAGGGAGTTTTATAATTGTTATTATATTTGATTTAAGGTTTATATGATTGGTAGATTACCTTAGGTTTTGGTAGATGGTGATTTGGTATTGTTTGATGAGAAATTGATGAATTGGTGACGGATAATGACTTATGATTGATGTATAATGAGTATAGAATTATAGGTGGCTGATAGATGATGAAACCTATTGATTAGATGGTGTTTTAGGACCTGCAATGTGATGAAATCACAAAATATTTGGACTGGTGTAGTGCATAAATCGCAATAAAAAAATCATGTTCACGCATCATCGTTGGATGATGAAAGTAGTGTCGCCAGGCGACACATGTATTTTTGGTCGTCGCTAAGCAAGGACGAGGTGATGGAAAAGGTGGAAAAAGGATAACGCTTCTTGAGTGCATTTCTTCTATCATCGTCGGGCGAAGCAGACATGAAGGGTGTGTCGCTAGGCAACGTAGGTGTGTTGACGGACGGCAGATTCAATTGGCTGTGTTGGACAATCTTAAAATGGTCATTAATTTAGTTCTAGAGCTCGGAATGAGGTACCGTTCAAAGCGTTGGATAGATAATGCAATGAAATTTGATTATGTGAAGAAAAATGAGTCTTAAAGAGTATATCTTTGAGATCTAAGTTAGAATAAAATTAGGTTCCCCGCATTGAATCACAATGATGTTTTGTTTATGATGATGTTATGGTGTTGTGTTGATTACTATGAAGATGTTTTTGATGTTATGTTGATTACTATGATGTTATGATGATGTTTGTGATAAATCATGAATGGTGACGTGTGTTGACTATTCGTGGTCGTATTAAATATGTTGTTGTGTATAATTACATTCATGACATATTCTAGGACTTTGGTCCAATAAAGACGATAGGACGATTGTCCAGTGAAGGCAATAATACCATAGTGTGAATTAGGTGTAACAATGAAGTGTTACGGTTCCAAGCGACAATCAATCCTATGGTGGAGATCTTTGGAGATAATGGTGATTGAGTCATAAGTAAAGTTTTGGTACCACGTGCATGATTCTATGACGTTGCATTACATTCTATGTGACATTGCATAATAATTTATTGTAATTGCTTAATGATACATTGTGTATGATGATATGTGTTCGTGTATTGATGAAGTGGTGAAGGTGTGAGTATAACATGACGATATGATGATGTGTGATGCCTTGCTTATGTGCATATTTACTATGTATATTTCTTATGTCTTATATAATGATTATGATTTACTCATCCTTTCTGTTTGAATGTTGCCTCTACATGGGTAACACGCAGGTGATCAAGAATAGTCCGTAGAAGCATTAAAGGATAGCTTCAGAGTGCATTTATTTACTTTTATTGAATAAAGGGAGTCTTACTCTAATATGTAACATCAGGGTTATGATCGAATGATTGGAACTTATGTTCTTTGTTTTATTTTAAGATGTTGTAGCGATAAAAAATATAGCGGTGTAAATCAGATATCGAGCCATTAATTAGCTCGAATCGCAAAAGCAAGAGTCATCCCGCGCTTTATTATTTCCAAGGGAAAAGGGAAAAGAGCGAAATAAAACCCTTTAAATATGAAATGTAAAGTAATACTTAAAAGTAATGAAAATACAATGTGTTTTTAAAAGAGATCGAAGGTTCGGGGGTTGGTTATACAAAGGGAAGGTACTAGCACCCAATGCATCCGCGGTACTCCGCAGGAACCTTTTGAAATATCTATTTTTTTGGTTAAAATTGTTTGTTTGGTTAAAATGGATGTGAATGCCATTTTGAAGATACGACGACCTAGTATCGAAGTTTCGACTTAAAAGGTGTGAGTTTTAAAATTGAGTCTCTTAAGAAAATTAACTTAAGATTAACAAAATAGTAAAACAAAAATGAATGAAGGAATTCGCTCAATCTTATAAGATGTATTTGGTGACATGAAGTCAACAAAGTTAAAACATTTCCCTTGAATTGTAGACGAACAAAATATATAGAGATTAAATGATCGAGAATAAAGTTAATTAGAGCGACAATTGAATAATTAAATAAACAATAAAAATTCAATAAGAGACTAATTTATACTAACATGTATTTTTTAAACAATTAAATAAGTAACAAAGTTAAATAAGAGACTAATTTATAAAGCATGTATTTTTTGTATTTTATAATGGAAAGAAATAATTATATGTAAAAATAAACTTAATTAATATTTTTTATCATATATTTAATAGAATTGGGAAACAAGGCTAAAAGAACTAAAAAATAAAATAAAATACCCCAGCAAGGGGTAGAACTCGGGTCCCTTAGGTGGCAACAGACATGCCTTGCTATTGAACTATTGCTATTTATCTATTATGTCAATCCTTTAATTAAAATAAAAGGCGATGATGATAAGGTGATTGGGCCAACAGGCCCATTAGGCCGACCTGATTTGGAAGAGACAAAGAAGGGTTTGAAAACCATAAACATGATAAAGGCGCCGCTTGGCTGTCTTTGGAATGTTACAACCACTAATTGTTATTTGGAAGGGAAATAATGCAGATTTAATTATTATTAATCCAATAAAATTCAATTAATAGAAAAATTGAAACGATAATAATACACACCTCTCTCTCTCTCTCTCTCTCTGAATCTCGTATCATCTTCCTCAAGTCTATTCCAACCACCCTTTTTCTCTCGCTCAAACAAATCATCACCATCATCATCGATTTCTCTCCCTCCCATCCGTATCAACACCATCACCTTCTACCACTCTCTCACCATCTCGACAAACCCATTTTTCTTTTCCTCACCCAAATCACCCCCTTTCATGAAGGTCTTAACACTGACATTCTTCACAGAATCCTCCTGAACAGAACTTCTAACATTGATTCTTTTTTCTTTCTCCACCACTCTACCTTCTAGAAATCTGTAGCATCAACCCGTATGGATTTAACGATTTTCCCATTCCAAAGATTCCAAACTTACATCTGGGGTTTGTAAAGATTTATTTTTTATGGTAAGAAATAGGGGAAAATTGTGTGTTAGTAATGGAGAGTGAAATGAAGCATCAGGTTGTGAAGATATTTAAATGCAAGAGGAAAAGCTTGGTTTTGGCGATAATGGTATACATTTAAATAGCAGAAGAAGTGAAGAATTGTGAAGTGGTTAAAAGAGGAAACCAGAGATATGATGCATTGGGGCTTTTGACCAGCAACAAAACTCTTGTCATGGTAGTTACTGACAGAGAGCCTAGTATGATGATATTTTGAACCACCACAAAAGTCATGGGAGGCTGACGATGCGGTTGGATAATCATTTGAAATCAGTTAAGTATTGGTTGACGGATGACCATTGTAAAAGCTTGAAGAGATAACTTGAAGGGTCGTCATAGTGTGACGGGACGAAACGTGTTTCTAAAGCTTATAGGAATCTGATGCAAGCAGTGATTAAACTGTTGCTAGACATCCATTGATACCAGCTAAGGGTTGGGTTGTCCATATAAAAGGATGCTACTGTGAGTCTACAACTCCATGGGATTGATGGTAGGAGAAAAACTACGAGATTTTAAAGATTCATCAAATAGCATCAGAGCCATCTAATTTAGGTACGTCTAATTTCATGCGGGGTGCAATATGGTTATGGTGGTGGGATATGAGATTGAGGTGAGGATGGTGTTGGAGTTTATAGGCGATAGTTAGAATTGAAAGTGAGGTTGGAATGAAGAAGGCTGTTTGAAGAAGGTTTTTTTATCTTTGAGAAAATTTGGTATCATGTTTTGTTGATTTTAACAGGTTATGTTTTATTGTTTGTTAACAGGTTCTGGCTGTCCAGGTTTTAACAGGTTGCAGGTTTTGTTCCGGTTTCCACGGGTTATGAGTGAGAAGATGAAACAGGTAAACTTGTTGATGGAAAAGGGGTGGATACAAATTTGAAAAGGGAAGTTGTTGGAGATAAGACGTCATCACAGAGGTAGAGGAACAACTAGTGTTGGACGCATTAACAACGGGGGTGCTGGATGTCATGCTAATGGTGGAAGTTGTAATGGCACTAATGTTGTTGCTGCTTGTGGAAAGGGATGAGGTACTGAACATATTCTGACTTGTAAGATTATTGAAACCACAGGTAGAAATGGGGAGGACGGTGTAGAGCCTAAAGAAACATATCCATTATTTTGACTTGAACTGTTGCCAAAAATAAATATATTTGTAGGTTTTGATGGTTATAATTTCTGGCTACAGGTTTAGTGATTATGCAGCAAATGTTCTATTTTTAAAAAGTTTTAGTGTTTTTAGGTTTGTAACAAATTTTAGCACCAACCAATGATCCAAGCATGAAGATAAGTTACTATACAAATGAATCTAGCATACACGGATGCATAAGTAATAGAGAGGAAGAAAAATACCTATGGGAGTCTCTCCGATGGAGCTTCAAAAAAGCAGTAAGTTTTCCATCCCTCTCTTGTTGATGCTTATGCTTCTTTTTACTCTGATTCTTGCTGTTATTCTTGAAAAAACTTCCCTCTTTTCTGTTTTTTCTCCCCCCTTTGTTATCCATGAATATGGCCTTTTATAGTGAAATATGTCGGGTTTTAGAGGGGAAAATGTGAGACATTTGAACAGTTATGAATGCCCTATTTTGTTGGTTTTTCCATACAGTTTTTGAGTTACCATTTTAGTGCAATTTTAGTCTTGTTCTGATTGGTATTTCTATGCAGGTTGGAGCAGGGAAGCAGGCTGTTAGCAGACTTTTATAGCAATTTTTGGCAGAATTTTGACTGTTTGAAGGCTGCTATTTTTTTTGGACTGATTTGCAGCATTTTTTAGGCAGAATTGGGACTGTTTTGCAGGCTGTATTAGGCTGACTTACAACAGTTTTTTTAGCCATTTGTGTGTAATTTTGACGTGTTTTTGGACTCTTGACATGTTTTTTACGGGCCTTTAAACTCTTTTACATTGCTGAAAACTTTTGCTAATCACACACTTGTTTTCTTTTTCACTAGTTGATGAAGAAAGTATGAAGATTGGAAGATGGAGCTTTGATGATGAAGGAATGGAGAATTTGAGAGACCTTGAAGATGAAGTCTTTAGGCATAAAAACTTGAATAATTCCTTTTGTGATTGTAACTAGAAACTTTATTGAATGTAACTTGGGAATTAACTTGTATAATTTGCAAATGAATGAAACAATGGTTACTTGGAACTTTGAAATTGTATATTTTTTGATGTGTCTTGCAAATTGAATGAGAACCTTTGGATGATGTTTAACTTTTGTCAATTTGAAATCAATAGACTTGAATTTGGAGTTTTGAACCTTGAATCATGAAGTGGATTATAGAATTTCATTTCCCTTTGAATATTATAAACATGATCTCTTGATTTTGAATCTTGCGAGTGATCTTTGGATAAAAGACTTGAAAAATTGATGAACATCTTAATTTCCAAGCAGCATGTAGAATTGATGTACTTGATGTTTTAATTTGAACATTGATTTGGAACTTCCAAACTCATGAAAGCAATAATTTCCTTCCATATTTTTAATTATGAATGAACTTGAATCCACGGATTTGACATGATATCCATTAAAATAATCACGGTTCCTGACTTGGATAATCACAAGGATAAGATTTGAAGAAATTATAGCGTCATGAATCATAATTCAAAGTGGTCAAGAAACTTCTAATCCAGAAAATGTCCTATAAAGTTTTGATAAATTCCATATCATTCTAAACATAAATTTGCTCTTGACCTCCTGAATTTGAACTTGTAAACATTGACCTTTTGGTTAATATTCTTTGAATCAATCTACGAACTTGATCCTCCCTCACATTCCATAGCACATTGATGGATATGCGGACCAATGATGATGAAATCTTGAATGTGCTTTGAGGAAGTTTTGGAGAAGCTTGAGACCACTTGTCGAACAGAGCAGGGAAATAAGCACACGATTCTCTGAAAGTTCTCTGAAACAAGCTATCACACCTGAGACATCCATGATCACAATGAGACTGAACGATGTTTGAGACTCCATGCGCTGAGATTAGAAGTTGTGCCTTGATGAATCAGTCTTCGAGAATCAACGATCAATCGTACTTCTGGCTTGAGAGACTCAAAACCCTAATTGAGGTGTGACGCCTGATGCTCTTGATTCAAACCTGTTTCTTCACATGAAATCAAAGAAACAAAAAACGTACACTTCATGCTTGATTAGAATTTAGTCATGCATAAGATAAAATGTTCACAACACTCGATAATCTCTGCACAGGCAATACTCGAAGGTGAGAAGTTCGAAACTAACCATATTTCGTGACCTTGATGTATATAACAAAAAATGCAAATGAAGATGGGATCTTATGTAAAAAAATTGGGTACGACAGCTGCCCCTATTTAAGTTTCTTCTATCCAGAGATATGAAGATTGAAATCTTCGTCTCGCCGAGATTGAAGGGGTTTAAATACAGAGTACGCAATTTTTGGCCCTAAGATACCGCCATTGTGTTTATGATATGAGATGAATGTAATATTTGAATCTTATGGGGAATGATGCCACATGAGACAAACTAATGCTGGAGAAACCAAGCACATGATAAAATAATCCACAGGGGAAGAGATTATAACTCTACTGGAGAAACAGAGCCACAAACTTTGAATAAGAGACTCTTATTGGGGAATAAATTCGAGAGAAAACAATTTTCTGAATCTAACAAAGAAAACGCTTTGCATAGGCCGTGAGAAAAAAAATAGATGGGTACTGACCCAAGATAATGGTGAGTTTACAACTCAGGGTCAAAGGTAGACAAAAAATATACCAACTTTTACTGATAGTAAACTACCAATTTTTACTGAAGGTAGAGATTTCATAACAAACTTCTCTGCGGCACTTTTCCAGAGAGATACCATTTTCTACTGAAATAAAATATTATTATGGATACACAAGCTACTCAAATAAAGAGGCCTCCACTTGCTATCTTCCAAAGATATCGATAACACAAGCTACTCATGAAGAGACCGCCTCTTGCTGTCTTCAAAGGATATCAAAAACACACAAGCTGCTCATGAAGAGACCACCACTTGCTGTCTTCTAAAGATAACAAAAACACACAAGCTGCTCATGAAGAGACAACTGCTTATTATCTTCAAAGGATATGAATAATATGCAAGCTTCTCATGAAGAGACCGCCACTTGATGTATTCCAAATATATCAATAACACACAAGCTGCTTATGAAGATATCGCCGCTTGTTGTCTTCCGAAGATGTCAATAACACACAAGATGCTCATGAAGAGACCGCCGCTTGCTGTCTTCCAAAGATATCAATAACACACAAGCTTATCATGAAGAGTCTTCCACTTGCTGTCTTCTAAATATGTCAATAACACAAGATGCTCATGAAGAGACCGCCGCTTGTTGTCCTCCAAAGATATCAATAACACTTAAGTTGCTAATGAAGAGTCCGCCACTTACTGTCACGTCGATATTCCAGAAGAATGTTGTGATAACACTACTAGGGAATAAAGTTCTTCTTCAAAGGGGAACCATGAATAAGTCCTTCCTGAGGATACCAAGTACTTGAATGTGCAAAATAAATGTGCTCTTCTTCTAGGTTTCACAGCCTAGAGAAAAGCACAGGGTAGCATATGCAAGAGACAAAGCTCAATCCAGGGATAAACCAGAGAGAAAAAAATCAAACAAGACTCCACCCAATGAGGAAACAACTCAATTAGGGATTTATCCTATCCAGAGATGGAAAAGGAAGGCTAAAGCAAGATTCTCCCATGAGGATTAACTCAGTTGAGGAATTAGAAAGGAGGCACACTTTCTGCTTAAGTTGATACTCTATTTAGAAAGAGCAAATACGCTGTTTGAATAGACATAACGAAGGTATATGAACCTAATAACATTGAAAAATGCGAATGTGCATGCATGATGCAAATGTGAATGAATGAATAAATGAATGTCATGTATATGCTGACAAAACAGATAGAGGAGATAAACTGAAGATGATAAGACATCACAAAACAACCAGATACTCGGCTAATATCAAAGATATGGGAAAATAACTGGAGATAGAACAAAAGGAATCATCGAAGCATATCATATTACAAGGTTCAAGTCTCTTTGAGGACGACCATACCCAAATGTCAATCTTCTAACATCAATAAACCACTGACATGATAACAAAATGTACTTCACTTTGGTTAGGGAGAAGAATCTTGCTCAACTAGAGATAACTGAATCAAGGCTTAATCGAGATTACTGGGGAGTCACCGAGTTTAGTACTCTACTGGGAACACAAGATCACAAAACCAACTCCTCATGATGATTTTGAAGGAAGAACCATTATTCATCATACAAGGATGAATTACTATATTATTTTGCATTTCAAGGCTTAACCATTCTCGAAGAAATTGTTAATATTCCTTCTAGTATTCACGACACATTTCAAGATAGGAATACTCTATTTAACTTTGTTTCAAATATTGCTATAAAAATTGAAATTTTGTCCAATAGAAAAAACAAAAAAAAGGATAAATGCTCAAATTTCATTAATAAGATGGTAGTTCACTAATGGCGCGACTCCAAAGGTTTATGAAAATTTAGAAAATGATACATGAAAGAATAAGTTACAAGAAAAAAATAACCACTATTCTCCCTAACAACTTTGAATTCCAAGATGTGCTCAAACTCGCTGTGACTAGTCTGATCAAAAGCCTGCTTAAGTCGCCCTTTCGGGTTTTCAACTTAGCGAGTTGTCATCTCAATTTTAGGCGAAGTACTTCTTGTCTGTGTCGGCGTTCACGGATCACGGGAGCTCCTCACCTTCCATATTTATAAGAATCATGGCACCCCCAGAAAAAACTTTCTTAACAACATACAGTCCTTCTTAATTCGGAGCTCATTTTCCCCTAGAATCAGGTTGGAAAGATAATATCTTCTTGAGCACGAGGTCACCTTCTCTAAAATCGTGTAGCCGAACCTTCTTATCAAATACCTTCTTCATTCTCTGCTGATATAGCTGGTTGTGACACAAAGCTATAATTCTCTTTTCTTCAATTAAATTCAGCTGATCATATCCACTCTGACACCATTCAGCCTCAGAAAGCTTAGCTTCCATCAAAACTCTCATAGACGGGATCTCAACCTCCACAAGGAGTACTATTTCCATGCCATATACTAGAGAAAATTGAGTTGCGCCTGTTGAAGTTCGAACTGAAGTACAGTACCCATGTAAAGCAAATGGGAGCATCTCATGTCAATCTTTGTAAGTCACCACCATCTTTTGGATAATCTTCTTGATGTTTTTATTACCAGCTTCAACAACCTCATTCATCTTTGGTCTATAGGGTAAAGAATTATGGTGTTCGATCTTGAACTCTTCACAAAGCTCTCTCATCATTTTGTTATTCAAATTCGAACCATTATCAGTGATGATCTTGCTCGGGATGTCGTATCGGCAAATGATCTGATTCTTGATAAACCTGACTACCACCTGTCTGGTTACATTAGCATATGACGCTGCTTCCACCCATTTAGTAAAGTATTCAATGACCACTAAGA